TTGTCACCCTTTTGAATTGAAATTGAAAACATATAAGACTCACCTGGGCTAAATTTTCAGTTTTCACACAACTTGTATTAACCAATGAAAGATGTTTTTAATGTATATAAAAGGGGGCTGATTGTTTCCAGTATAACAATGACGACAAAAGAAATGAGGGTGTTGGAAAAGGTGTAATAAAAAAACATAATCTACAGGCTACAAGGGAATCAACAAATATCGTAAAATCTGTTTCAACACTTTGTAATGTTATCAAGAATTTTCAGTCATAAAACTGTTAAATGCTTCAAGGATGTGGTGCTGAGAGGAAACGCAGAAGTCTGTAAAGCTTGGTGCATCTTGTGGAAAAAACACCTCACAAGAAATCTAAAGAGCTGCAGGCTGACCTGGAGAGGTGGTTTCAGTCAGTACCATACACCACAAACTAAACCAAGAAAGGCTCCATGGGCGAAGGCCAAGTAGGACACCACTATTGAAAGAAAAGCACAAAAAGGCAAGACTAATGCTTGCAAAAAAACTCTAAATACACCACAGTCTGTGGACAGATGAAACCAAAGTAGAGGTCTTTTGGATTGTAGTGCATCGATTTATTTATGGGCAACAAAATTAAGCCCATAAGAAAAAGAACACTGAAACACGGTGGAGGTTCTGTCATGCCACTTAATGTATCAGAGGAATAATTTTAGAGTGTAACATAGTGTCGGAAAACTATGTATGTGGCAAACCCAAGAGGGTCTTTCATAAGGAAAACACACAACAGCACACTTTCTGCAGCTCAAAAGAATGGTTGAAAAAGAAAGGATGGTCTGTTTTCACCTGGCCAGCAATGAGTCCTGACCTAAATTCCACTAAAAATCGGTCCAGAGCTGAAAACTGCCACTAAAAAGCAGGCCTCCTGCAAACTTAAAAGAGCTTGAATGCAAAGCAATGGAAAATAGCAAAAACACAAGCAGTCAAGCTTCTAGATGGCTGCAAGAAACATTTACATGCAGTTATTGATGCCAAAGTTTCTGCAACCAAATACTAATGAAGGGTGCCAATAACTGCTTTGGTATATTGTTGTTCTGCAACCTTGGGCATTCATTAAAATATTGTGGTCTGCAAACATGAAAAAAAAAAAGGAAAAACATAACTTCGATCAGAAATACTAACCCTGGTCTAGTGAATTCAGTTCCACCCACTGGTTGAGTTTTCATGTTTTCAGTACTTCTGTTAAAAGACAGTAATATTAATTGAGTTTAACTTACCAGAGGAGTATGAGTATTCCATCTGGAGTTCCTCTTGATAGCTCCAACAACAGTGCCGATTTCTCCCTGGATGATGTAGATATTCTTGTCCACCATGCTTCTTTTCTGAGAGAAAGAGAGAAGTGGAGATGGTCAGTTTTGGCAGACATTCAAGCAATGGCTGTGCAATAATTCAATATTATCACTTTAAGTTCCTTTATATAACTATTTATTATATTTCCTAAACGGTTCAGAGCTCAGAGATGAATTACAACATCTATTATTTAATTAAAATCTGTCACTGCTTAAGACCCGAAATACCTAACATAAATATTTTAAAATACATTAATTTGTTCTTTAGGGCAGTTTGCACCAAAATGCCACTGTCCCATCTCTTGAAACCAGAAATGCCCACATTCTTATTTACTCGAATATAGTATATTGTACAGCAGCCTTCATAAACTACGGCATGTTAAACTGGATGTACATTTTTGAGGCTGATCAGCTCTAAAGGACTCACTATAAATAGGTGTTGCTAGCCTAGATGTTGCTAGCCTAGAAACATTAAGGCTCTACACAACCCATAATGCAACACTCTGTAAAAGGCCATAGTTTTACCACTCCATTCAAAAAGAAAATATGTTGTAATGAATTAACATGTTTAGTTCGAATAAGTTTGACAAAATATTGTCTATAACAGTTTCCTTTCTCTCCTGAGCAGCAGACAACTCTGTTCCGTTTAAGTGCTGTCTTATTAATGATTGAGAAAACCCTGCATTCTAAAACCTAGATGCTACCCTCAGCTTACATAAAATAATACATGCTAGGGCTCAGCTTAGTGTGCAAAATCTTTATCACTCCATCTCTCTCGTAGAAACAATGTCATGCCATGTCAAATCAACACACTATCGGTCCACACCATCAAAGATCTTCATGAAGTTCAGCATGTTGATTTGGTCATATGAGAAACCTATGAAACAAAATCTTCTGTGTGTGTCATAGAGAAATTATTCTTGATATCATTTTAAAGCTCTTTTACACCTCCACATTTGTTTTAACAGTATTCTCCATGTAAACATTTAAGCATTAAGTCAAATGTTCACTTGACTTTGCCAGCATTAAAGACTACATTGCAGTTGCATA